CAAGGGATATATGAAGACTAGGGAGAACCATCTGTACAATATAATTAATAAGAAACAAACAATTTATAATACAAATAAACAGGAAATCATTTCAAGGTGCATTTATATATTCTGCAAATTTAAGATTATCAAATTGTTCATGTTTGCCCACATGTATATTACATGTCCATTTTATTACACAGTGAGTTTCACGTACATGGTCAATTTCAATATTGATGATCGGTTTGGCTATGATGCTGTGCGAAACATCCTTGGACCTGGCTTTTATTGAGCCATCTGCTTTATATGCCATGTAGGATTCCAAAATGGACTGTAGGGTTCGTGGGGCTGCTGCTACCCACTCAGTGACTGGGAGTTGCATGTTGGCCTTGGATGTTGTGCAGTAGACAGCAATACCTAGCTGTAGATATAGAACAAGTATTAAACAGAATGAGTGTAGTATAGTGAAAACAACAAATGTAAAATTGTACATTTTAAAATTAGTCAACAGTGGTTTTTTTTTACCATTGCAGCTACATATTCCATACATCTTGGTCAACAGCTCATAGTCGCCAAAGATGAAAAGGTGGAGTGTTTTGTCTCTGTAAAGAAGGAAGAGGCAAGAAAGGGGCACAAGGTAAGTCTTAAAATGTATGAATGTAATGCAATTAAACACAAATCCTCAAACGAATCCACGTTTCATAATAATAGAGATTTCTTAATTTTGATTTTACCTCCACTTCTGGCCAATAAGTTGAGACACTTGCTCCAGGACTGGTGGCAAAGTTGTCTGAAGGTTTATGATGGAGTCATCACCCTCAAAACAAGCAAACACAACAGTGTTCTGCAAAGAATTGGGATGATATGTGTTCACTATTTGGAAGGACATCTTGAAGGATTTACCTCCCTTGTCTCCTCCTATTATGGTCCATACTTCATTCTTTGGGATTACACCATTGTGCCAGGTTAGAGACCCACACCTGTAAAAGAATAGTTATGTAAAGTTGTCATGTCACATAGCAATGGATACAATTCTCTAGGGAGAGCATTGTTCACAATCTCAGTATTAAATAAAAACTCACCTGTCATGTGTTTCCAGGTAATCCATAACCAGGGAGACAAGATTCTTGATGTGGACAAAGGGAACATCTCGTGATTCTACACCATTGCATCCATAGGCCTTATCAGAATGGAAGACCAGTGGAATAAGACTTCCTGTGAGGTTATCGTTGAGGAGCACATTTTGTCGCTTTTGCATAGCTCTCTGATGAAAACGTTACCCCCATGCTGCCATGGTACCTGCAGAGGGACAAATTCCTCGTACAATAAAAATATATATTTTTAAATTTGTAGTGTTGCATGAAGCACAGTGTGCAATGATATATACCTGCACTTTATACATATACTGTACATGTTTATGTGTACCATTGTGAAGATTTACTAGAACATGTATATGTCCATTTTTGTGGTAGTTTTCCATGTACATGTTAACTTGATTTACATGTATAATTCACATGTTACTACATGTATACACATACTTGACATATATATTTAATATTCCCAAAACATGCATGCATGCTGTAACGGTCGATTACACACTTAAGGTTCGGACGACCTCACCAGATTGGGATTTCCATTTAACATCAACAATCAGGAATGATTTATTTCGGAATCACGAGCATTACGAGAGAATTACGATACATTGATTGCCAGCTATCTTTGATTGTATCCCAGCATCCTTTGCTGTGTTTACATGTACATGCGTTAGTCTCCAGTCAAGTCGTGTCAGCCTAGTCTTCGTCCTGTAGTCTTTGTCTACAGCCATGTCCATCCCGTTACACTCCCCCCTCCTTGACAAGTCATACAAAGGTTTTAGTGTGAAAGGGGAAGTCCGATTAAAGATGGCTTTTTTCAAAATTACAAACACAAAGTTACAATGCTTGCTTAATTAAATAACTTCTCTCAAAAGCTGACAGTAGTGTTCTTGACACAATGCA